TAAAGCCAGAGATTTAAGTCCTGTGAATTCTTAACATCACGTTAGCAACAGCCGGGTTTCTTTAGGTTGAAGCTGTTATGTCATGCTGAGATTGCCAGGAAGACTTTAGACGGCTTGGATTCCTTCTACGGTTCAGGGAAATCCAGAGGGGAAACAGTGGGCAGGTTCTTTCCCCCAGGCTGCCTGGGTTAAGATAGAAATCTGTCCACAGCAGAGGGAGCTATTTGCTATTACTTTAAACCCACTTTAGATGGTATCTCACTTCAGAAGCAGACTGTAACTTAAATGAAAATGTTAACTTCAGCACCAACACTGATGAACACATGGGGTTAACAGTTGTGCTCAGCATCTTCCTGACCCAAGCGAGAATTAATGGAAATGTATTGTAGCCAGGAAGGAAACTTTGATAATACCTTTTTGCTTTTACCACAATCCCATAGCCTGTCTTTACAAGCAGATCCCTTTTTTTTTCTTCAAATGTTCCCCTTCTCCTGATTATTGCTGATAGCTACATGTAGCTGGCAGCCAACCTTCTGCTGCAGTCAGGCCTCCATGCAGGCAGACATATGTTGCCAGTGGCCATGCTGGCCTTATAGGATAAAAATAGCTGACAATAGACTGCTATGTAGAGCAGAAGGAGCATCAGTGCTCACCTCTTCTGTGGGTTCTCTCTGTCTTTTAAGTGGGACACTCATGATGGAGTCTTTGTTGCTTAAAGTCAGTGGATGGCTGGTGGAAAAGTGCTATTAAAAATGCCAGAATGAAGCTAATCAGAGCAAAACCATGGTGACTATATAGCACACTGAGGCTTTACAAAAAGCAGCTATTTATATTATTTTACTGCTGTTAATAATTGAAAGATAATTGTGCATGTTCAAGTGTGTAAATACCTCTTAGGTTGTTTATTTGTTAGTGTGATATCAGCAGGTTTTTTAATTGCTGCAGTAAAACCTTGTCACTGGTAACCAACGTGACTCATTCAAGTGAGATTTTATCCACATTCTCTTTCTTTCTCCAAAAAAGCCTACGTATATATGTGCACTGATTTTATTCCCAGTGGTAAAAATATGAGTAAAAATCCTCGGGAGTCCACCTGGCTGCTTAGCCAAGGACTAATGCCAATCATTGGGACACATATGAGCTTCTCTTAACAACGTAAGAGGATCATTGACTCACGAGACTGAGCCTGATATCTCACTTAAGCTCTCATCTCCCACTCTGCTTTGGACGGCTTTCATAAATGTGTTCTGTTATGTGTTCAAACCAGTGATGTGTACAGTGCTTTATTTCACACCTCGTACAGTGTACGAGCATCTAAACAAAACTCATTTCTCTGCGTTTCAGACCCTTAATCCCAAATGGAACGAGGAATTCTACTTCAGAGTGAGTTCACATTTCATCGTCTTTGTTTACGTCAGCAAATCTCCGCTCCTTCACTGCAACAGTTGCACTGTTTCATTTGTATCTATGCAGCGTGCTGGCGTTGCAGTTGTTAAACGTTTGTCGTAGTTTAACTGAGGACAGAGTCCCACCTCCTCCACCACTGTAAATAGACAGATAATATTAGACTTTACAATCTGAGCCTTAGCATACGTATTTATTTTTTCCCCCTCCCTTATATAAGAATTACATTTCAATGTTGTGGTAGAACAGAGTGTCCAGCTTCTAGTAACTAGTCATGAAGTGTTTTCAGACATCGTAACTAGAGATGTAACGATGCATCGTGAATTGATTAAAAAAAAAAGAATCTGTAACGAATACTAGTCATGAAGTGTTTTCAGACATCGTAAGTAGAGATGTAACGATGCATCGTGAGTTGATTAAAAAAAGAAAAAAAGAATCTGTAACGAATACGTATCTGTATTTGGATCGGTTGAAATAAAATATGAATCGCACATCAAGGCCTAAGGAGTAGGCTGCGTTATCGCAAAAAGTCACCGGTGATACCATGAGACTACACACTCTAGTACACTAGGTGGCGGTATGCGCCTAAAAATGTTGGTTGTGACCCGCTATTAAACAAAGACATCACATTGTTTCTATAAAGAAAGGAACTCTTTCCAGTAAGTTTTATTTCAAATATTCTTTTGTTCTTATATTGACAGTTAGTGAGGTCAATTCTAAGATAACTTCAGTTTATTAGGTAAACAAGACTAGTTTAGTTTACAAAGGATCAATGTATTTGGTCAGACTTTGCCTGGAGTTAATCTAGCTTCAAAACGTAATAAAATAATTTATGAAAAAAAAAATTGTGAATCGTATCATATCGTATCCTAAGTTGAGTGTATCGTTACATCCCTGATCGTAACTGCATCGACCTTTCATGACCCCTGTTTCTCATGTGCTGTGTCTAACCCTTTTGCCAACAGGTTTGCCCACAGAATCACAGATTACTCTTCGAGGTGTTTGATGAAAACAGATTGGTAAGAATCATACGATATGCGTTCACACCCATCACTCGTTCTGTTGCTTATATCACACTGTATATATTTATATCCAGTCTTTTGCATTTTGACGGCTCTCAGCAGATGTAAACTCACACACAGACAGTTGTTTTTCCATTTTTTTAAATGACGTCCTCCATTTCTTTCTTCCAAGATGTTCTTTTGACTTAAGAACACCAGGTTCACTTTGTTTTATAAAACGGCAACACACTCGTTAATCCTTCATGTGGAATTAGAAGATAAAACAATCACCTTTCCAATTTTTCCCCAGTTTTAGCTTTGGTTTCACTGTTTCCATGGTGAACATCAGTCTGCGTGTTTAACTGCTGTGTAGAAAAGTGAACAGAAGCACAATATTGTTGCACTTATTTTTTCTTTCTCTGCTTTTTAAGACTGTGCTCCACAACTTTTACCCTTATTCTTTGTCAGGCTTCTCAGATTCTCCCTCAGAAGAGAACTCTAAATTTTTTTAAAATAGTTTCACATTTTACATTGAATGCATAAAACAGCTTGAAGTGTTCAAGTAATTAAAAAGAACTCAAGAATGTCTCAGTTCTCATATTTCTAGGTCAAGCGACGATCTTAACTGTTTGAGGTGTGCGGAGTGTTTGGGATTTAAATAAAGCAAATGTTTTGTTCTGTGTTGTGGTGCAGCAGATGTGAGGACAGCTGCATTTTTTTGTGTCTTGTGTGTGACTCTGGAGGTCTTAATCTAAAGTGTGGTGTTTAGAGAAGAGCAAAACAAGACGCATCCCATGGTATTATAGAATCTCTTGGCTGGTGAAGGCACATTCTGTTCCTCACGGCATCAGGACTCCTGCTACTGCGTAGCGGGGTCTTCGTGGGAGTACGCCTGGTTTTTGCTGTGGATGGAGTCTTTTTTTTGGCAAAAATTACCTTCTGTACCTTTCCTGCAAATTTAATCAGGTCAAACCTGCAAGATTTTTTTATTTTTTTTTTAGAAAAAAACAGACAGTCTCTTTCATCTGCTGAAATTGTAGCGTGCTGTACCCATGTGTGACGGAGGGCATGTTTCACATTTTCAGCAGAAAACAATTGCTATTTCTTAGGCCGATAAGAAAAGGGCAGCTCTCATTATTCTCTCAGTACAGGGGCTGCACTGTTGCAGACTTGAGGATGACACAAGACAGCTCAGCACAGACAGTCTTCGTCTCTGTCTTCTCCTTATATGTCTGCCAGGAGGCGCTTTTCTGTCTGCCTCTATGTGCATACCAAGGCAGTTCCTCCGACACTGGACAGAGTTTCTTTAAAGAGTCTGTTTGTTCTCTTGCACCCATCAATTTAAGGTTCATTTGTCAGATGAAATGAAGTTTGACATAAAATTGTGAGCGTGAGCTTGTGCGATATTAGGTATGATACATTGCAGTGTTTTGACTAACACTAATTCTCCAGACGTATTAAACTCCTCTGTAGTTTTTCTGTGCACAGAGAAAGACTGGAAGGAGAAAAAAGTGAAGGACATTTTCTAGTTTGTAACACGTTTCTAGACTAGCTGCTATAAAACCACACGTTAATGTCTTGTTTGCTATATAGAAAATGTTCTTTGTAAATTTTTCATGCACCCTGTTATTGACTGCACCTAACACTGTAGGCAGTGCGTCATCACTAAGCTTAACTGGCTGCAACCTTTTCCTGCACATAAATCTTTTCCGTTCCGTTTTTTTAACATCTTTGACAAATATCTCTCTGCTCAATGCTCTTTTGTCCACAAATGTGTTCTTCAGATTTTTTCTAATTATAACTCAGTTTTAACTGGCAGTCAGTGGCTTGGCTACCAACTTGTCGTGTCTTGCTGCTTCCTACAGAATAGATGATGTTTAAAGAGTAACTCATGAGTTGAAACTCTCACAGAGGATGAAAAAGCTGCTTCCTACAGAATAGATGATGTTTAGAGAGTAACTCATGAGTTGAAAAAGCAGGCTTGATTTTGATTAATGTCCAGAAGTTATCAGTCAGAAATTATCATACAGTGGAGAGTAGAGTAGCGGAGAATAATGTTGCTGTCCAAAGAGATAAGATTTCTTTTTTTCATGAATGCAAGTTAGATGTGTCTCTGTATTATGATGAACTGAAGCCGTTACCCATACTCAGCATTCAAGCGTTGCCGACAACGGCTGACAGCTCAATTGTTTCTGAGGCGGCGTGATGCAAACAGCATGGCCTATAAAACCACCCCGCAGTCGGGGCCTTGCCTGTGTATGGCAGACGGTGAGTGTCTGTTCAGTTTAGTGAAGACTTGGATGTCGTTCCCCGGAGAGAGCTGCGTCATCAAAGCAGCAATCTGACGGATATTCTTTTCCCCACTTTGCTGCCTCCCTTTTCTTTGACCATTTTTAGCAGCATCTTCCTCAAGCTGTCAGTGAAAAGGTCTTGATTCACCAAATGATGTCTTCTGGTGGTTGCAGTTTAAAATTGTTTGCAAACGGATCAGAAATGAATGGACTTTTCCTTTTTGTACATCTCTCTTCTTTTGGCCCTTAACCCATTATAGAACTAGTTCTGTCTTCTGGTGGTTGCAGTTTAAAATTATTTGCAAACGGATCAGAAATAAATGGACTTTTCCTTTTTGTACCTCTCTCTTCTTTTGGCCCTTAAACCATTATAGAACTAGTTGTTATTTCACGTAAGTATGCTTATGGTTGCTTAAAACCTTAAGATGATTAAGATGCTTAACAAATACGTCCTGTTGCAAACTGCAGTAGTAGACAATAAGGTTTAGTTTTTGGGACGTCATTAATTGGAGACATGAAGAAGGATGAATAGAAGAGGTTTAAGAAAGATCATGTCAGCAGTCGGAGGTTGACAGGATCTGAGTCAGGAGTGTGTTGGCCCTTGGGGGGGCAGCTTGAGGTTGTAACAGGAGGTAGTGGGGCCATTTGAAGTCATGTGACTGACAGACAACCCACTGTCACCCCGGAAACCAGGAGCGCCAGCGTCTCTTATCCAATCATGTGAGGAATGCTGGCCGTCACTCAGCTCAGTCTATTTCTGCTGTCTGTCGCTAGTGCATGGTAGTGCTAAAGGTCTGACTTACATGGATCTTAAGTTTTTCCCCCTTTGCCTTTCCTTAGGATTCACTTCATTTAGTGTGCAGTGTAAACGTGCCATATTTTTTTCTGGTGGCTATGCAGTTTTTGTGACTGCTTTGCTCCATAGATTTAACTGTGGGAGGAAAGTTGTGGAAAGGATTTGGACAGAGCGTGGAGAGGGGTGGGGGGCGGGCGAACGGGAGAGAGTGGAGGAAAAAAGGGGATCAGTCATCTAGCCAGCAAAAGGAGAGAAGAAGGCGACAGTCAGAGACAGAGACTGAGGAGAGGAGAGCAGAGGGTCTGAAGAGCCAGTCAGAGAGAAAGTAAAAGGCAGCGAAGCTCTGGGACCTGGGTTGGAAATGGCACAACGTCTGCGTTTGTACTTTAGCTCAGGTCGCAGTAACACGGCCCCTGAGGTTCTGGAAGGAGACACTGAGGAGCAGCGGCGAGACAGTGATGTGGTCACAGCAGTCGGCCCTCAGCCACCGTTGGGAATGAGGCCTTTTCAGGAGCAAGCTGAGCAGCAGGTTCCATCTTCTCACTTGCATCGCGATCCGTTGTTAAAACGCAGTTCTTCGATGTTTATACCACAACTCGCCGCCTTCAGTGAGCCACGTCCGACTAAGAGCTCCTCCATGCACATCTCACTTCAGCGCTCTAACGGATCAAGTAATGGAGAGTCCAGTGGCCAAGAAGATGATGTTCTGCCACCGTGTTATTCTCCTCCAGGACCAGCGCCTGCCTATCCTGAACCACAGGGGAGCACTGATGTTCCACACCAGCCACCTCCACCCTACTGCTGCCCCGATTCTTTAAACTCTGCAACTTTTGTGGCAGAGCCGAGCGTTCCCAAACGTAGGGTCTTCAGCATCGGTTCAAATGGGTACACAGTGTACAGCAAAGGACAGCCAGGTATCAGTGTGGGTGGAATCTGCATCCAGAGAACCCCTCCTGATGGTTCTGATGGTCAGCATTTTAGAATCTTTCCTTATGCTGGCTGGTCCGGCCAACAGCAGAGCTCAGACAATTGCTTGGGTGTTAATGGTGGAACTCAGAGGTTGGTATTTCAGCTCCAGCAAAATCAAAACCAGGATCAGAGCCACAGCACGCAGTTGGCCAATCCACCGCAGGAAGAATGCACAAATATCGGCTTTGCCAGCTCTAGAGGTGGCCGTGTACTGCGTTACCCCAAAATCCGACTGGGAAGAAGCTCATCGTATCAGAGGCTTTTGGTGGAAAATCAACATCAGGGCAGGAGCTCAGATGGCCCCGATGGTACACAAACTGACAGCGAGACAGAGAGAATGGAAACTTGCGACCAATCGGATGGTTGTACTTTTAAAATCAGTGGCGATACTCCCAGAAGGCAGCCTCATTTCAAGATCTACTTTACTTCAGGTGGAGGTGGGGATCCGGATGTGAACGCCAATTCAGTGCTGAACAATTCCCAGGTAATCATTATCGGCATAGTTTTTTTGCGATGGTTACATGTTAAATTATATTTGTCCCGTAGCTATAAAACTTTACAGGAGATTTTTATTCCTTCTGCCTGAATAATAATGTAATTAATAATAGTTCAAAAACATGAGCTCAGTTAAGAGAGAGGTAGAACACAGTATATAATATCTAAATATATTTTAGCGAAGAGACACCAAATAGCATATCTATTAAGAAACAGAAAAATAAAGATATATTCTATGGTCTGCATCTTGTTTGTGAAAGTAATGTGTTCATGTTATTGTCAGATTCTGTCCTGGATCTGTAGGTGTTTATACCTGTGTTGGTTCCAGTAGTGGAAAACACATTCATTAATACTTGCTGTTTACAGTGGCACTTAAATAAAATGTTACACGCAGTAACAGGTATAAAGAACCCCTTGTTGGAAAGAGTAGTACTTTTTAGTTTTGGTCATTAAGCTCAACTGCAGTGCTGCACTGATCTTTGAGAGAAAGCTGTTCCTATATTTAGTCTCTTTCTAGCGTGGTTGTTGGTTTTGAGCGTGGTGAAGAGGCTGTTGCTCTAGACTGGTTTGGACCTGTGTCCTTCTCACTGCTGCTGTGACTGATGAGGCACAAGATGTCGATGTAGATTTTCTAAATAATTTCTTGCTTATTTTTGTACAAGGTCAGACAAGCTGGGTTGTCTCGCTCTTACTAGTTCATACTCAAGCCTTGTCTACAATTAAGAAATGTCATCTGGTCAATCATGATTTATTGCGACCATAATTAATCATGATTAATTAATCAAGATGAATCAAGAGTTTGATTATTGCTGAACATTTCTGTACAGGAACAGGAAGTGGATGGAGGTAGAATTCCTAGAAATTCCGTGCGTGCCATTCAGCCAATCCAGTATTTGAATCTGATCTGATCAGTATACACACGTCTGTATATGTGTAGATATAGATCACATCGTTTTTATATTTAAATACATTCCTCTGAGGGAACCCCACTTCCTTTAACCCACTCCAGCCCACATTTAGAATATAATGATGGGTTTTCCTAACTGGTGGCCTTGACTTGGGGTGCCCCCCCCCCCCTTTTAAGCCACTGCATTGGATACTGTGCATGTGTTTCCTTCTGTATGTGCCATCCTGACTAGCTGCAGACAGTAAAGCCCCCGGGCTGTGCCTTTGTAAATCCCTTCTTCAATGCCTCCCATTTGCCATTTAGACACCTCTTGAAAGGGTTGACTATATTTACCTGTGATGGGATTCTAGGTGGATTGGGGCGCACTCTGTTTATTTTGGTCCAATAGCGTGTGAGAGGGATTCAAATCGCTTTTGTTGGTGAAGAGCTTTTCAGTTTTGTCATCTTGGGACTTTTAAGTAGGTCACATGACCTTTTCACACCTACTTTCTAGGCTGGATTTGTTCGCGCTTCCTCTGTTTCACACACTATCACACACTTGCTTTGTGTCATCGTGTCTCTGCAGAGATCTGTGTATTCCAGATAAATGGACGTGTAGGAACTTCTCACAGAGGAAAAGTAAAGTTTGTGTAAATGCTAAAATAATTTTAAATAAGAAATGTAAGATGAGTTGATTTAGCTCATCTTCATTATCTGAGCTTATTTTTTTAGCTTTGTATTTTGGTTCAATACTTGAACAGAATTCTCTATTTAATTTTTCTTTCCTTTCTCCCTGGCCTCTCTGAACTCACACTGCCCAAATAAAAAACTCATTTTCAGGTTGTTTTTTATTTTTTGTCCCCCCTTCACCCCTCCAAAAAAAGCATATTTACCACTTTATTTTGTGTCCACTCCAGATATTTGTTTAATATAATATACACTGCACAAGTCTCTGTGTTGAAAAGCAGAAAAAAAAAAACCAAGTGCGTCACAGCTGTACAAATATTGTATTTTTTTTCTTCACTTTTTGAGCATTGGATATTCAGAGTTGGTGTGCCCTGTCCCTGACCTGTTCTTTTTTTTTTTTTTTTTTTTTTTTAAATTTGTCTGTGCTTCATTTCTATCATCTTACCAATATATAAGCCAAGGCATAATAATGTTGTGGTGTGTTGTACAATTAAAAATGACTTAAAATAAGGTTTAATAATTTAAAATATACCATTGAGTATAATTCAGATTTGACTTTGACAAATCTCAACCTAAAATCTCTAATATTAAATTCTTTTTTAGTTAATAAAGATACAAACAAACTGGCATCAGTACTACTAAAAATGTACATTTAAAACAAATTACCTTCTTTACTTCAGGATGACATGAAGAAAATGTGAAACTGTGAAATAGTTTGTTCACTTTTATAGACCAGCAGTGTTTATTTTTTTAGCTTCCAAATGACCAAAGGGTCTGTAGTGTTTCTGTCGGTTCTCTGCATGTGTCTCCTCCCTCTCCGGCTTGTTAGTGGCATCCTCGCTCTCCCTCTGAGTGTGTAATCTGGCCTTGGGAGGCAGCTGAGAGACTTAACTCTGACCTGACAGTGACTGTGCAATTATATCCCTCTGCATAAACAAACTTGTTATGGTTGAGAAAAGAAAACATCAGTTCTGTGTTATAGGATTACATGTGTCCCATAGGAAACAGCGATTGTACTACTGGAGGCTGTTTCTTTTCTTTTTTTTTTTTCCCGCCACAAAGTCCGAGCTCACGCTGACTCATCGGCTTGACTGGTGCTAGCAATAATTTGTAGTTTTTAACTTGGATAAACAGCAGGCTTTTTTTAATGACAATGTGTCAAAGTGCTTGACAAAGCCACATGACAGGTCACAAATCAACATGTGGGAAGATTGCACGCCGATTCTGCAATTTGGAAAGTCTCACTCTAAAGTTTAAAACTTCACTATTTTAATTCTTTTAAAATGTAAATGTGGGCTAAAGAAATAATGTGTTCAGTCCAAAGGGGAACATAAGTCATTGTGCTGTGGTTCTGGCTGTCCAAGAAGGAATAGTTTGAGGTGTGTCTCTGGGAGGACTTGTGCGTCAAAGAAATGACAGATGCTTCACAAGTCTCTAATTACACACATGCTCATTAATGACGGTCATTTAGTTTTAAAGTGATTTATTTGTGACCTTTCTACGTTGAATCTCAGATATGTAAATAGTGGAGAGAGCTCCTTAAACTCGATCCTCACAGTAAGAGTAAAGCAGTCACTCATGTGGATCTGGTACGTCCTCATCTCAGCGTGAGCCATTATTCTGACGGATCAAACCATTCAGAGTCGCAACCACAAAAAGTCTTAAAAACAACACTTCAATGACACTGGTATATTAATAAATAACAATAAATAAAATAAAAACAGTGAGTTGAGCTTTTCACACGAGTAAAAAACAGTGAGTTGAGCTTTTCACACCAGTACTGCATTACAGTGTGGCATTATTTTCATGTTTTAATGAACAATTTCAACACAAAATATTCCTTAAATAAGTCTCCGCAAAGGTGACCGTATCAAAACTTGTTGACCTGCTTGAATAAATCACTGTGTATCAGGTCCCTTGAATGGCACATTTTGAGTGCGAGTACAAATATTTAAATGAAGTATCAGGTCAAGTACCAATACTGGTACAGAATTAGGTTAATTGTTCAGTGTAAATTGATGTCAAGTATGTGTGCAAATCGTTTATTTCTAAAAGTGGTCCTACGTTAAACTGGTAAACTACCAAGCCCCCCCAACCCCATGCCTGCTCTGGTGGCTCCCCCTACAGCCCTGAAAATGCATATTATTATTTACATAATTGATTTGCTTGTTTAAATTTCAGCTCATCATATTCAGTAGTCGCAACTACATTCATTTTGACTCAAGAAGATGAAACCTGGGAAGAAATAACTTGGTGGTCAAAGATCATCGTTAACCAATAATGTGTTGTTTGTTGTTAGATGGAGGTAATTCAAGAAGCGTTTTAAATGAGTGGCTTCAGAAGGTTCCTCTGTGGTTCTCCAAGGCTACAATGATTATTGATTACGTCTGCAGGACTTCCATGTGCATTAAATGAGTCTCAGACTGACTATAGTGGCTCACACTCTGGATGTTGCTCCCGTGCTGCAACAATTAATATCCCACAATCCACAGGTTACTGCAGTTTGCAATGAAAGGAACTGGACCAACTCATTATTATCCAACATTTTATACAGTTATTGTTGTTAAAAGTGAGTGGTTAAAGTAAAGAGTGAGTCATGTTGCCTAAATAACCTGTGTCCCACACACAGGGATCTTCCAAGAACGGGCTTTTCCATATCGTACAGGTAATTCAGACAATCCCCTCGGGCCTGTTGTTCTTCACCTCGATCATCCTTCAATTTTCCTTCTTTCCTCTCAGCCTGCATCAACACTGTGGAAATGATAAACAAATCAAATGCGTTCTCACATGGAAACCTTTCCTGAGTTTTCCCTGTTGTGACATTCATTCATTTCTACCTGAGAGCTTCTGTTTGGTGACGATGGATGTTAATTTTTCCTTGATGGGTTCCTGGGTTCTTCCTCCTGTGAAATTTGAAACTTTTTTTTTTTTTTCAATAATGAAAATCCAAACTGGGTTTGGATTGGGGCCTGGTGGAAAGATTGTAAACCTGTAAACAGGTACACTTTGAAAAACAGCAATAAAGAATCAAAGCCCATGTTACTAGTTTTTATATTTTTAAATATTTTGTTTTAATAAATATTTAGCTTCATACATCATACACACAGACATATATGTATAAATATATATGTCTGTGTATACATTATATAGTATAGTTACTATAAAAGTTGTGATCTAGTAAACATGACTTTGCACACTCCTTATTTTAAGAATTTGCATATTATAACATTAAAAAAAACTTTTTCCAGTAAAAATATTTAGTTCTTTTTAGGTCATTTTGCTTTTTAGATTCAGCGTTTTTCATGGATGATTGCTTTGAGTTTTTATTGCTTTTTTAGGGAAGTGTACCAACTTGATTTGAAATGGTTTGTACCGTAATTGATGTGCTGTTTTGTCAGCGCATGGGATTTTTGGGTCTCCACAAGAATTCAGAAATAAAACTTGTGGTTATTCCTGGATGGAAGTTTAAAATTTAGATTTTCTTACACAAACTTATGCCTTAACTTTATGTTTTTTTTTTCACAAGATAATTTACCTCAACACTGTGTCATCCTCTCACTCCTTTCCTGGTGTTGGTGTAGAATCATCTTTTAAATTACGTAACTGAATTAACCTTTTTTTTTTTTTTTTTTTTTCTAGACCAGAGATGATTTCCTTGGTCAGGTTGATGTTCCCCTCAGTCATCTGCCGGTAAGTAGTTCAGATTCATGGGCTGTGTGTGTGTGTGTGTGTGTGTGTGTGTGTGTGTGTGTGTGTGTTTGTGTGTGTGTGTGAGTGGTTTGCGTGGCCAGACTTGTTCCTTTTGAAGACTCAGCTCTTTCTTATCTCACACCGTGCTCTGCCCGTTTGACCTCTGCGATAGTTGTGGGTATTAGTGTTTAGTGTGATGTCGTGTACCTGGCTTGAGAAAGTTCCGGGAGTATTTTGCTGTCGTATTTACACACTCCTCAATAAGAAACTGGACTTGCGTTGTCTAAAATGTAAACAAGGGCCGCTGTCATGAAAGAGATCCGGTGTCAAAGCCAGTGGAAAAAGCTTTGCCTGTGAAATGTAAACAAATGCTGTCTCTCATTTGGAAACTATGAACTAGTCTACTGAAGACATTGATAATATCTGCTTTTTTTTTTCTCTCTCTCTTTTCAACAGAATTATGTTCCCAGACTTGTTATGGTTGTTTTCATGTGGGCCCAGCCTTGTAAAAACCTCAGAGGCAAACCTATGAGTACAAGGTGTGTAGAGGGGTTAATTATTAATTTTCTGCTTGGCTCCCATGAGGCCCAGAAATTAGTAGCAGATAATAACAACAGCTGAGTCATATGAATCAGTGGAGTCATTGGACTTCTTAGTGAATATTTGTTCCCGATGCGGCTGAGGCAGCTTAACTTTAAAAATCTCACTGAAGCAGAATTGTAATTGGCTGAGGATGAGTAGGTTATTTTTTATTTTTTTGCTTGACTCGGTGCTGTGTGCTGCATTTAATAGGTGTTTTTCTATGATTCATTATTCTTTTGAGATGACCGGTAAATTACCCGCGAGTAAGAATCCGTCTTAAAACCATCTGGGTCTGGAGCATCAGGTTAACGTGACTTCACGGCGGCGGAATGCCTGTCTTATTCATAGTTACTGGAATTTACTTTAGTCATCACCTATTTTCTGCTGTAGCTCCTCTGAATCAGGCCAGCCTTGCTGACTCATCCAGAAGCAATCTGGTGGCTGCATTTACCTTGTAGAACTTTAAACTCATTCAGATGTTTCCAAACACAGTTCAGCTCCAGAGGGAATACAGCGTAAAAACCCGACTGGACGTCCCACTCAAGTTCTGCTCTGCGTTTGTCACACATGACGTGCTGTGATTTATGCTCGGTGTCGGGCGACAAGTTAATGTCGATTCTTCATACAGAATTTGAGAGAGAACATCAAAGACATTTCCAACATTAGTAACAAAAAAACATACTCTTTATGGATTCCCAATGGAAACATTAGGTTAAAAACACACCTGGGGACATAAATGTCTGAGCCATGGTCAATAACCCACTACTCACTATATGGCCATAAAAAGAGTTGTAACTACACGAACCGGTGATATTACAAAGCAGTGCATATTGGAAAGCCGGTGTGAACTGGTTTGGCCCCGTCAAGACATTGGAAGATTGCGTCGAATGGCATTAGCACCTTTCTGCCTTTCAGTGTGTAAACGGAGACGCGTATCATTGCATAATGAACCTGTGATTGCTGCACCGAGGGGTTGCAGCTGCGTTCTCTACTCTGATATTTTGATACAGCCTCACATGTGCATCTCCTCTACAATTACAGACGGAGGACCCAGCTATGGAACGTCCCTACACATTCAAAGACTTCCTGTTGCGCCCCAGAAGGTCAGTTTCTACCACCTACAGAAAATGTGATACGGCATGTGATAATGGAAAATACTTGTCAACTAATGAAGCAGCTTCTTCACTGTCACCCCCCCCCCCCCCCCCACCCACCCC